TGTTTGGAATCAGACTTTGTCACGCAAAACTTGGAAGAGAGCTGACATTAAAGTCATGCCTCTGCATTTGCTTCTACACTGTGGGGTTTTTTTGTTGTTGTTGTTTGCATTTTGTTTTTCTTCTTAAGACAGGGTATCACTCTGTAACCCTGGTTGGCCCAGAACTGGTTTCACAGACAGACTGGCATTTAAGTACCTTACCTGTCTCTGTTTCCCTAAAATGCTGGGATGAAAGGAATGTGCCACCACCAGCTACATTTCATAATTTTTAAACTATAGAATCAAAGTTTCGATGGCACCCCTTTTTCTTTCTAGGTATGTCTTACTCTCTCAGAACCGGTAGTTCAGGACATAAGGGACCAAAAATATGTTGTCCATTCTCTATGATCAGTAGATAGTTTGTTAAACAGGTTTGGAATGATGCAAACCAAAACAGATGCTTCAGGAGCTTGAGGCAGAACCTGGAAGCTTCCTACAAACATTACTTAAACTCTGAGCTTGTTAGAAAGTTCATGCCATAGTTACAAAGAACAACATAAGGAATGTGCTTGCCAATTTCTGTGCAACTTACTGTTTAGTGAGAGTCTAATCATTTACCACATAATTCTATCATTTCCATTCACAACAGCCCATTTTTTTTAAAGTTCTAAATTAGAGACTCCCTGGATCCCCTCTCAATTTCCTTCTCTCTCATGTCTCCTCCATTCTTCCTCATGTATGCTTCATCCAGTCTATGCTTGCCACCGTTTCTAAGATCTCTAGTCCTGAAGTTCAGCTGAATCTCATTAGTTCCAAACTTGCAATCCCATTGTCTGCTGGCCCCTCACTTAGATATCCAAGAAGGTCTGCAAATTAACAGTCAGAATTCAATCCCCAACTCTCTCCATTATTCCTTGTTCCATATCTCAATACACTGTCTATTTCTCAGGTAATGCCTTTCCTGTCCCCTAAACTTAAATTCATCATTGGATGCTCCACAGTATAAGACAAACTACATTATTTGTATCTTAAAATAAAGACTAGCAAATATTTACTATATACTGTTCAAAACCTGACCATGGTGTGGCAGTTAAGTGCCTAAGGTTATGAAAGTTCATTTCCCCATTATGTCTACTAGGTATACACTCTCCCCGTTATTGAGGGAAAGAAAGGTTCTTGCTCCCTCCAGGGAAGGCCCTTTCTACTTCAGTCAGGAGTTGATTCCAAAAGTTAATATTCTAATCTCAATTCTGACCAGTTACATGAAAGGAAAAAAGTCAACCTTCAGTTTTCAGCCCATGGATGTGAAAAAAAATCCTTAAGGAAAGAAAAGCAGAGTCATGAGCAGGATAGATAGCTCTGAGGACAGGGTGGCATCCAGGAACAGCTATAGATAATCCGTAGCTACACACCTCCAGACTCGGGGTGCCAGTCGCCCCGCCTGCAGGGCTTCAAAGGGTTCTCGACCACCCTAAGGAGGGAATGTAGGGACAGGAGATACAAAGGAAAAGACATCAAGTCTAGATTCTGATCAAGGTGCCACTTTATTTCTCTTCCACAAAGGTTTATATAGTTCCGCAGGGTGGGGGGAGCAAGAAGCTGTCATCTGCATAAGGTAGGGCAAGCTAACAGGATGTTTGTATGGGATGTTTACAGGGTGAGAGGGTCAAGGGCTCTGACTCAACGTCCTGTTGCTAGGCAACCTGACTGTAAGCTGATCTAGTTCCCTGTCTTAATGGGGGTCTGTATTTTTCCACTAACTAGAGATTCTGTCCTTGTCTGTGACATCTCCCCCTTCTTAGTAATAAATCTAAGGGCCAACATAAACCAAGTTCGAATGGTCTAAAAGGAGGGCTCTGAAAGAGGCTTTGCATGGAGGATTACAGAACTCGGTACCAAAGGCACTGATAAGGTCCACCACTTGGAAGATTGTTAACTTGTGCTTTATAGTGAAAGTGTTTCCAGTTAATACATGAGGTCTTTTTAGATAGATACTCATCTACATTAGTAGATTCCCAATAAATGACCTCAGTTCTTCACACTGAACACATTTGTGTGTGTGTGTGTGTGTGTGTGTGTGTGTGTGTGTGTGTGTGTTATGTAGATTTTTCAGGTTTCCTCAGAAAGTATGCCATTTTCTTTCCCCCATCCTGGTAATCCTCTAGTAATCACTGTTTTATCTATCAAAGCACCAAATTATTCTTTCCAATGTTAATGTCTTACAGAAGAATTCACTTTTTTCTATTTCATCTCTTATTTTATTATATATCAATCTTATTTTATATCAACTGAACTAGGGATCTACAGATAATTGGTAAGGCATTATTTTAAACTTTGTAAGGTAGTTTCTGCAAGGGATGAATATTTGAATCAATAGAAAATGATGCTCACCAACAATGAGTAAACATCATGCTATCCAGTGAGGGTCTAAAAGGAAGAAGACAGATTCCCTTCTCTCTTCTTGAACTGGGACTTCCATTTTCTCCCATGCTTGGACATTGATACTGTGGTTTTTAATCTTCTAAATTCAGACTGTGGCTTGTACCGTTGACATTGTGCTTGAACTGCATTATGCCATAGGATTTCCTGGACCATCAGCATGTAAATAGCAGTTCTGAATCTTTCAAACTTCTATAATGATGTGAAGATATCCCTCATAATAAATCTCTTTCTGTAATGCATATCTATTGGTTCTGTTTCTTTGGATACCACTGACTAAAATAAGCACTACATTACAACAACATACTTGTCTATCAATAGACTATTAATAACCAATGTAAGAATATTTGATTGATCATTATGATCCCTGCCACTAGGATATGTTGGCTGTTGCATCACAGATACTCAGAGAACAATTTTTGTTTTTATTAAACATCTGTCTTCTAAATATATCTTTCACATACTTTAGGTAGAAGCTTTACAATTTTAGATGAGTCTATGAAAATATTGATCATTTCTAAATTAGTTATCACTTTAGCGGGTAGGTGTTGTCTACTAATATATATATATATATATATATATATATATATATATATATATATATATAATTTTTGAAAGAGCACACAGGTAGTCCTGAATATTATTTTGCTTTTGACAGAACACAAAGGTAGTCCTAATTTCACTTCTCGTCATTATTTATAAAATACCTTGATAAAAGCCACTTTGAAGGGAAAGAGCTTATTTGATCTCACAATACCATGTTTGCAGGAATTTGAATCAGTGACAATAACAGTTAAGAGAGAATGAATTCATGCATGCTGGCCACTCAGCCCACTTCATCTACTCATACACTGCTCAGGGCCCAAACCAAGGAATGCTGCTACCCTTAGTGGGTTGAATCTTCCCATATCGATTAATATAGTCAAGACAATCCCCCATAGGCGTGAGAACAAACTAAGCCAATCTAGACAATTTCTCGGTGACATCCTGCTGTGGGATGTTCTGTATGTCCTGTGGGAGCCCTTCTTGGGTTCTTTGTGGCGTTACCCAGCAGGTCCGCATAGAGGATGATTAGGACCATGGGCCTGAGTGCAGGTGTCTGAGATGGTCTGCACTTGGCTGTGCTGGGGGATGGTCTGTATGTCAAGTTGTTCTGATTGATCAATAAATAAAACCTGATCGGCTGTGGCTAGGCAGGAAGGATAGGCGGGACTAACAGAGAGGAGAAATAAAAGGACAGGAAGGCAGAAGGACTGACTGCCAGATGCCGCCATGACCAGCAGCATGTGAAGATGCCGGTGGGCCACCAGCCACGTGGCAAGGTATAGATTTATGGAAATGGACTAATTTAAGCTATAAGCACAGTTAGCAAGAAGCCTGCCACGGCCATACAGTTTATAAGTGATATAAGCGTCTGAGTGATTATTTTATAAGTGGATTGTGGGACTGCGGGTGACAAAGATTTGTCCTGACTGTGGGCAAGGCAGGAAAACTCTAGCAACAACATCCTTTCTAGGTGATTCTAGAGCATATCCAGTTGATAAGTAAGACTAATCATCATCTATTACTACCACCATTTTTACTTGGATATAAAAATAATTTAGAATTTCTGGGGTTGCATAGAACTTTCCTTCTGCCAGTTTTTAACTTGGGCTGTAAGATGAGTTCTTCATAGTGTACATGGGATGGCTCCACCATCGAGCTTTACATAGCATTTTAAATCTGGGAAACTATGGCTGGATCTTTCCCCAGAAACACCCCTGCCCAAGCACAGAGACCATTGGCCTCCTCTACTTTAACTTACCCATGTTAGAGAGTTCATAGGTTAACTTGGTGTAAATTGCTTTCCTTGAAGAGTATCAAAGTCAAAGAGAACATGAAAGGACTGGTCTTTTCTTCAGAGACCTAGCACTCTTTCTGAAGAGAAATCTGTAAACTGCAGGAGGTTCCTTGATTATTCACTGTTTATTTTAATTGACAGCTCTCTGTGAGTCCAACATGTAGATGAATCAGATCAAAGCAAACATATGCTGCTTTACAAAATCGATGTTCAATAGTACTTATCTGGTAACCATGCAGAATTGCATTGACTATTTCAATCTCGAGATATAAAACTGAAAGGTACATTAATCTCTCCTGTTTTGATTTGGGTTTGAGAACTTCCTGCCATGTCACATGCCCAATGACTATGTGACTCAAAACAGGTTCTCCCTCTAGTCACTTCAGATTGTTATTGTTATATTTCTATCATCAGTTTTACTTTTGATCAAATTTCACCAGTTGCCTAAAATTATTTTTTTTTTAAGAAAAAGAATCACCAACATCAAATCACTCAACTACCTAAACTGAGGTGACTGCCACAACTGCCACATGGTAGAGCTTTAAGAAACCCCATTTTCCTTGCCATCCCTGTGAGGAGCTGTCCTGTGGTGTGCTGCGCAGGTCTCCCCCTTATTTGTGTGGTTGTGGTTGGGGTCGGAGTGGAGGCAGATTGATTTGAGATGACGGCTGCCTCAGTGATACCTGCATAACAGCAGCCTCTAAACTTAGAGAGCTGCCTGGACAGACAGGCTCTTGCTTACCTGAACTGTGGTTTCCTGCCAACAAGGTGGGGCTTACAGAGCATCGGCCCATTCTGCTGGTGACCACAGGTGGACCTGGGGTTCCGTCCCATTCTTGAGCTTTCATTGGCTCTCTGGAGGAAGCTGCTCCTCCGTGATGACCTCTCTCTTTGCTGTCCAACTTTGGTAATGGCTCCGTGCTGTGGCTTCGGACTTTCAGCTCCTCAGTGGATTCTGTGTATCAACAACGTTACTTGTTATTTGAGAATTAAATCCTCCCCCAAAAATCATTTTTAGAGACTCAACTGAAATTTCCTTCTAAAGTACTTGTAAAATATTATTGAAAACTGGGTTGTGCTGGAGACCTTGGTTTTTAAAATGTAACAGTGAAATAGGTCCCCTGGATGATTTTCTTTTTCTCCAAGACGTGGGTACATTAGTATCACCAGAAAGAAAATAATTTTCTCTTTTGATATACAATACCTCAATGAATCTTGACTCTTTTTATCAATTCCCCTTTGATTTCATCTTTAAGGAATTCTCTTAAGGAGTATGTTACATTCCTTCCTACTTTCTAGTCCCTCGACTTTCCTTTACTGTACTGTGCCTTGAATTCAACCCAACCATTCTCTAGCACTGCCTTTACTGAGCAAATACAGTAGGTTTTTTTAGGTGAAATATTTACCACAATTCCTACTGATTGGCCAGTCTTCTACAACTTGTTTTTATGTATTCAATTCATTCAGTTTCACAGATCCTGCTTTTTCCTGCATTTATTCTACATCAAACCCCTTTTGTAAGGCATCTGCAATTTTCTTCTTCAACACATCCTTTACACACTGGTCATCTCAGCACTAGCTGAGACGCTGTCCTCATTCACTATAGATGCTTTGTATGATTTTTATCCTTCCAGTTTCAACAAAATTTCATCTAATTCTTAAAGATTTCCCAAACTTTTTATCAAAAGACAAGACCTTTCTCCTTAGTGTCAGGTTCATTATCCAATGGATACCTTATAGATAACACAAATTTAACATTTTGGGTACTGTGCAGACATTTCTTACTCAACTGATAGCTATTCTTGTCCATTCATTCATTCATTCATTCATTCATTCATTCATGCTAAGAGATTGTCTGTTCTTGTCTTTAACTGCTAAAGCCCAAATTCAAAACCATCAGTCAGAAAAGTCTCCTGACTCTTTGTGAGACTTTTTCTTGTCCTTCTCTACTTGGTATCAAGTTTGCCTCAGCAACACTAGTTGAAGCTTTAGCTTTGTCTCTTGAATTATCACAACTTGCGCCCTTGATCTTGTCTTTGATACCCAAGGTACAAGTTATAGCATCTGTTTATAATGCAAATGTGATCATAATGTACTCCTGACAGGAATACTTTGAGAAGTCTCCTGTTCACAGCACAATAACTGAGTCTTGATTAGTGTCTGCCATACTGTCCTTCCCTTTCTCTCTAACATAACTCTCTCATAGTTGTTGTACCCAAGGAACAATTTCAAAATGGTCATAGCTTATGTCACTCTCTTCCATGCCTGATCAAAACAATAACTTCAACCTCTTTGCTCTGACTACCCTTAAATCTTGTCTTTGCTCTAGTTGAGCAAATCAACTGATACTCTGTGACTTCAGTGTCTTCTAAAGCTTCACTGTCCCTGTGGTCATGTCATCCAGTCATCTGTATATTAACATAACATATTGTCTTTCCACATGTTTACTTTGCCCCCAAACTCCACATTCTTGAAAGTCACATGCTTTGGTTTTTCGTTTTTTACAACTGGTTCCCCTAGCAGCAAGCATCCTGTTTAATAAATATTTTACTTATTTAGCACATTTGTGAAATCTTCAATCATCTTTCTGATATGTATAGGCAATAGAATATTTCTAAAGGAACCAGAGAATCAAATGATGATGAATGTACTAAAGTGACATGATCTTGGTAGTTTTTTTTATCTGATCATTTGATAATAGTAATATATAAAATTCATCAAATTAGAAGTCCAATTTTATATGAAGATTTTTTGATAAATAAATGGTAATAATTTTAAAAACTGTATTTTTGTTTTCTTGTCATTTAATTTAGCTTCAAATGTTTCTCAGCTTTCAACAGGGTTAAACACAAATGTCACGTTTGGTTCCTCATTATCTTGCTGGCTGGAAAAAAGAACAGGCTTCTGTGTATTGAGCAGCAATGGTCAGGGTTCTGGGGGCCTCCCAGGGCTCCACTTGGCAGTGTTAGCAAGCAGTAATTATAGAGAGAAAAGGGAAGTGGTAGACAGAAATAGCCCAGTTGGTAATAGGGCCTGATTTGGATGTGCTGTGGCAGTTGCAGCTTGTGATTGGCTGCAATGATTGGTCAACAGGCTGCTATTTGTTGCAAGGGGGTGCTGTTAAGTGAGGGTGCAGTTTGTTTGCACAGTTAGATTATAGAGAAGCACCTGTGGGCCAGATTTAATTCCACATTTTTGCTGTTTTGCTCTGCCATTCCTCTGCCTGCTGTGAGTCTCTGCCAAATGAAAGCCCTGAATAAACAGCCTTTCTGTTCTCATTGGCCTGGTCTGGTCTTTCATTTTCACACTGCTTTAGTCCCTTCCAGCTCCAAGAAACCATGCAGCTATATAATTACAAGAATTTCACTTTATGAGACAAACAAACCAGGAAAGTAGTCCAATCTAATCACAATATCAGAAAGAGTTCATGTCTCTAAAGACACCTGTTATAAAGTTACAGTTACACTGAACTCGAATATAAGAAGTCAAAATATTTTAATGGTAACATACTTAATCATAATCATTAGGAGAAGAGCATTTAACCAACACTTGCTATTCAGTGTCCTGAAACAAATGGAGTTAAATCAGCACCAGACATGATCAACATTGGCCATTCCTAAGCTGTTTGTTCACAGTCTCAAAAAAAAAGCAACTCTGGTTTCTGAATGTCACTGCCTCAAATCTAAGGGCCCATCTGTTTCACCCGAATTTTTCTTCCACAGTCTAACTCAACTCCTTGAGCCCTTGTGCTGTTATTTGCTTAGGAAATTAGACTCCCCTCCTCCCCTCTATCTCTTCCGTCCTTCCTGTCTCCCTCCACCTTCTCTTTAATAACTTGCCCCATATACAAGAGCCTCTGGAGTTGGAACTAGTCCAAAGATAAACAAATAGATAAAGAGCTCCAACTTAAAGCTGCCCCCAACACTGTTCTCTCTGACATTTTAAATATGGAAGGAGAAGATTTGTGTAAAGGCATCTCCACCAAAGTCTGTTTCTTTATTCTTGTTCACATCATTCTACTACAAATATCAGTGGCATATCATTTAAGCCTCAACTATTTAAAAGTCCAATACTGCTTTGGGGGGGGAAGCAACAGTATTTTCCTTCTTTTTATGCTTCTCTGTTTGTAAGTGCCAAGGGTTAGTTTCAGTTAATTTTGGCAGGTGTATTTACAGAAACTTGCACAAAAGGATTGAAGAGTCTGCAGTGCTCAGGTTTAAATGTGTGTACCTTCATGTATGCTTTTCAATTAGAAAGAAGAGACAAAATGTTAGTAATAAAATCATAAACATATGATGCCTTTTTAAACAATCTTTTTCTGTACTCTTTTTTATATTTAAAAAATGTTTTTCATTTTACATACCATCCCCAGTTCCCCCTCCCTCCCCTTCCCCTGCCTCCTAGCTTTCCCCCATCCCAGCCCCCATCCATTCCTCAGAGGGAGTAAGGCCTCCCTTGGGTAGTCAACAAAGTCTAGCACACCAAATTGAGGCAGGCCTAGTCCCTCCCCCCTGCATCAAGGCTGAGCAAGGTCTCTCAAAAGGGAATGGGCTCCAAAAAGCCAGTTCATGCATCTGGGACAAGTCAGGGCTCCCACAAACAGATCAAACCCCACAACTGTCCCCCACTTTCAGAGGGCCTAGTTCTGTCCCATGCAGATTTCCCAGCTATCAGTCCAGAGTTCATGAGCTCCCATTAGCTAGGGCCAGCTGTCTCTGTGGTTTTCCCCATCATGATCTTGACCCCGACCCCTCTTGCTCATATGATTCCTCCTCCCTCTCTTCAACTGTTCTCCAGGAGCTCAGCCCAGTGCTTGGCTGTGGATCACTGCATCTGCTTTCATCAGTTGCTGGATGTAGGTTCTAGGATGACAATTAGGGTAGTCACTAATCTGACTACAAGGGAAAGCCAGTTCAGGCACCCTATCCACTGTTGCTAGCAGTCTTAGCTAGGGTCAACTTTGTGGAATCCTGGGAATTTCCCTAGCACCAGGTTTCTCCATTACCCATAATGTAAGTGTATTCTTGAGCTTTTATTTTGTAATAAATCTTTTCCCCATGTACATATTTAAGAACTGCTTTCAAAACCAAATAAGTTTCTCATTAAAATAAAGATACAACCCTTTAAAATAACTGTCAAAAAAGAGACAGGTAGAAAGTGGACAACAGAATTAAGATCTAATTGAACTTACACAACTGGATTAAAAACTATGCAATTAAGAAATACTGCAGGTTCAAAGAAATATATTCAGGAAATAAAGACAAGTACCCGCATCCAAATATTTTGATGTTATTTAAAATCAGATGAACCCATTTTTGAATTTAGTAACATAAACTACCCACAAGATTCTTCTTATACACGGTGTGGAAACTTTCTACAGAATCATAGTGTCTCAGTGCCCTATATAGCAGCCCCCATTTGTAGAAAATTAATGACTGTGTACTGCATACCCTGTTGATCCAATGAACGACTGTGCTAATGCTGATTGGGTGACTGATATTTATTTCTTATATTTCTACAACCTGAAAGTCCATGACAGGAAGGCTCACAACTATCGAGGGCCTTCAGTGTGTCAGCATCCCTTGACAGAAGGCAGCAGGGAGAGAAAACAAGCAAGAAAGAGGGAGGGGAAGGTAGAGAGAGGGAGGAGAAGGATGATGAGAGAAGAGGGGAGGACAAAGATAGAAATAGAGAGATAGAAGCAAAGTCATCTTTTATAAGAAACACACTTGCATGATAATTAAGCCATGCCTGTGACACAGCATTAATCCATTCACAGGGGAGAAAGTCTCAAGGCCTCACCTATCATTACTACTGATAGAGGATTTAGGAAGGGACACTTGTCAATCACAGCACTGTTCTTGTTTCTGAAGCAATTCAGAACCAACTTCTTTGTTTTTTTAGATAAACACCCTGGTGAATCCATAGTAAGGTCACCTGTCTCCCCTTGGTCAT